TCTGAGTCACACAGATCAGAAAGGTAAACTATTATTGAGAACTTGATGTATGTTTTGGTTACTATTTTACAAACTGGCTTCACGTCATCCTTACACTCAGCTCTCTGCATTAATCATGTCTGATGAGAATGTTCTAAATTAATAAACATGTTCATGGGAGATGCAATAATAAAAAAAACTCATTACCTACTCTGAGGATTTTCTAAGACTCAACCTGTTCTGCCACAAAACAACTCTACTCAACTTGCTCCCATCAAGAGTGCGTTTTCATAAAATTAATCAGATTTTATTAGCTCTGAGCATTCAGATGATTGTTTTCATAGTTTTTGCAATTAATTTCAACCAAAAGCTTCATAAAAAAAAAAAAACGTTTTCTTCAGTCTTGAACATTATGTCTACCTGTTGGCAAAAACGTCAAACGTATTCTTGACATTGAATTTATTTGTTGAAGTTGAGACAATAATGGGAAATAAAAATAATCAGAAAGGCAGATAAAAGACAAAAAGCCTTTATGAGGATACAACTGTCAACTGATGCAAATGAGTTTCATTTAGCAAAAATTACAGTAAATCACCAAAACCAAAGGTATGTCGGGAGGAGTTCAGATTTCCACCAAGACTTTCTGACTTAAGATGTGTTTTTATTTCAGTGCTGCAGAAATCCACAGGGCCTGCTGTCACAGTCCATCCTTACAAACTACGAGACGAGAACTCCAGCTCCGCTCTGGGATTCGCCTCCTTCGCTGTCTCTGGAGTTGGGCGCTGACGGACCCTGTGCCTCTGCTTCACCCTCTCCAACAAGACGGATGTTGTAACGTTCTCTGTACTCTGTGAGTTCCCGACCCTTCGCCTGCATTTGTGTGTTGATGGTCTCGATTATTTTGGAGATCTAAAAGGGACAGAAAAAGATAAACAAATGCAAAATATTGCGCGTTCTTGTAGTTAATTACAGTTTATTTACCATATTTTCTGACGTATAAGTCAGTTTTTTTGCATAAATTTGTCAGTCCTGCAACTTATACGACGAAGCGACTTATACAAGTTTTTTTTTTTTTTTATATATTCGTAACGCAGTTTTTGACTGACACTTTAAATTTCAAAGAACTGCAACAGCGAGTCCTCCCGTGCACGCTCGCTTCACTCAGCTGGTGCAGGCAGAGGAACGTCAGAGAGCTAGTAGCTCCAGCTGTGATGGATGGATGGCACCACGCCACTCAGGCAAAATGAAGCTGTTCTGACCATTAAATAAACAAATAATAAACACGACGGGTCAGCGGTGACACATAATAAATTTGACTTCTATATGTTTTATTTTCCTCTTCATGATGCTTTTTTTTGACTGATGCAACTTATACTCCAGAAAATACGGTACTCGTCATCAGCTAGTAACGCGTCTACAGATGGTCCAGGATTCAGAATAATTACTTCTAAATGGTGTTCAGCAACATCACCGTCTAAAAAAAAGATAGCCTGGCCATTTAGAATTGGAGTCTTGTCTAAAAAGTTATAAATGATTATCTTACCTGTTGTACATAGCTTTTTGAACAAACTCTGTTTAAAGAAATTGTTTTGTCCTGACCAGACTGACAAGCTAACGGCTAGTCTGAGTCGGCCCAAGACCAAAGTGAAATCCTTACAAAATGACTGCGAGATAAAAACGCGGGACTAAAACTTTTAACAAAAATATGTGGAAAGATAAACAGGGACCAGCTGGACATGGGCACCAGTGACCCCCACGACCCGAAAAAAGAAGAAGCGGGTAAAGATAATGGATGGATAAACAGGGACCTTCGAATCCCGCTAGGATAAGTATTGAGGCTTGAGGCTAAAGTCAGCCAGATCTAATGTTGCTGGAAGAGTTGAAAAAAAAAACTGAAGACTGGCATAATCCCACTGAGATGACCCTGGAGCATTTGGAGCAATTAAAGGTCAAATTAGCCAAATAGAGCAAAGAGAGAGCTAGCATGGTTAAAGATACAGTCATGAGACAGAGGTTGCTGCGGTACGAGGTTCATCGTGATGAGGAGCTTTCAGCAAAGTGTGAAGATCCCCCAAAACCAGACTAAGGAACAGCATCAAGATTCCCCAAGGAAGCAAAGGAATTAATCAGATTTATAAAAACGTTGCTTCAAGAGACACGGAAACTACCATCAGAAATGACTTAAGATTGAGAGGGTGCGTCGCTCCTTTGGACTAGTAGTGTGAGAAGAGAGCACAAACAGCACCAGCTACTTTTAGCACTTCTGGTGCAGCCTCACTTCTAATCCAGCAGGAATTTCAGGACATTTTGACCAAAAATATCAATACGAAACATTATTAGCATGTATTGAGAAGCTAATATTGTCTAGCCTGAGTCCAATTTTCACATTTTTATGGCAGTTCCTGCAAACACCATCATTTAAAACTCCAAATTACGTCAGTTTTGCCTCACATGAAGAAATATGACATCATTCCTGACTGTTCGGCGCCAGGCTGTTCCTGAAACGGGGAACCTTGCTTCTGCTGTGTCTCCTCGTACGTACAAATGACCAAATAATTCAACATAAATAACTGATTGATATAGAAATTATTATTTTAATGCTTTTATGCCAATCTAGACCTATATTATACTTATTTAAACACACTTATACTCACTTTTGATGCAGCTTATCTGCTTATTCAGTCATTCCTGTGCTGCAGATGTGTTTTGGAGTAATTAAAGTCCTCCGGGGGATGCTCTAACCAGAAGATTGGGGCCCCATCTTCAGGTTACAGTGACCCAGGTTTTGAAGGACATGTTTATCTCTGTTGCACAGATTGCTTTGATGAAGGAAAAACAGATTTAATTAAATCTGTTCTCCTGGCAACCATCAAAACTTGCTTTGATCTGCTCTCACGCGATCCGGTCAGGGAAGAAGGTATATAAGAAATGTATCAAACAACAGAGAGTTGGAAGTCCGGTGTGGATCAGCACGCGCTGAAGTCCATGTGCCATTTTGATGTGATTCTCCTTTACCTGGGTCGAAAACGACTTCCCGGCCAGTGTCACGGTGAGAAGTTATTTCATATCAATCTGTGTTAAGAGTGTACGAGTGTACATGTTTGTTTTTTGCTCGGTTGTTTTCTGTGGCAGGATAATAAAGGACACTAATTTATCCTAGCAGTAACAGCTTCTGTCTTTTACTTTTTCCTTCTGGTCTGAATATCTGTGCCGACCGTTTCACGAGCCCTTTTGATAAAGAATTTCACAATACATTTTTGGCGACGAGGATGGGATGTTAAGAATTTAAATAAATAATTCTGAACGGCTGCACCATATTCAAACGAAGGAAAAAAAAAAGGTGTTGAGAGAAATGTTGATGCGAGTTGCATAGTTGTGCCGGGTTATCCAACCCTGGCTTTGTGTTTAAGAGGTGGAGGGGACGCCCGA